CACCTCTGTCGCTCTCATTCCCCCTCCCTTTTTTTCCCCATTTACCACATTTACACACACACACTCCCTAGCACCAAAATAAAATAAGCAAAAAAAAAAAAAAAAGAAAAAAAATTTTCGTCAAGTCGAGCGTGTCGACAACAGTTGAGAAATCGCGCACTTTGAACCCCTTATCTTTGTTTACCTCTTTCTTTTGCTGCATTGCCAGTTTTTATTTTTTCCCTTTTTTTGCTGCCTGAAGTATGTGAGGTTTCTTTTTGTTGCTTGTTTAACTTTATTTTATGGATCAAGAGTTCTTATTTCTTTTATGCAGCTGACTTTTTCCGTTCTTTAGCTTTTTTTAATATTTTCGTGTTTTGTTGCCGGCGCGGTGTGGAGGTCGCACCGTCGCAAACATTTGTGATCTTCACCAGCTTTATTTAGCGACTCTATTTGGTAAGGTCCCGTTTGTCGCGGCCTTCGGTAGAGACGCGCGGAAATTTCAACAGGACCTTAACATATTTTGTATATCAAATTATCGATATATCGAACTATTTTATGATCCCCTTTGAATTCGATATGTCCGGGTTTGACTGTACTATATGAAGATTCAAAGCCGAGGTCAGTAGGTATCCATTCAGGGCAACGATGGGCATGTCACTATGCGTGCGCCCGCAGCGCGAACGTCGTCGCCGGGCGAGCACCGACCGACAGTTCGACGAGAGCGGAGAATAGACCCTTTCAGGCAACATTTCATGGGCGCCGCCATCTTGCCGTCACGTGACCCTGCCGCCATAGCCGCCCTTCAGTTTCTCGTCGTTCCTCCGCGTTGTGTGCTGCACAGGCCACTGCCGGAGCTTTGTTTTCGCGTTCTTTTACGTTCCGCGTTGAAATCGTGTGTTTCCTTTGCGTCTTTTCGATATTTCGGGCTTTCATTTAATCATTTGATATTTATATTTCAACATAGCTCTTCTATTTTCTTATTTCTGAAATGGAATCGGACAGCGAATGGATCGACGATGCAAGATTATGGCTTTAGAGACCATGTAAGTTCATCCCATTCTAACGTTTTTCTCGCTAATAAAGGGCAGTCAACACCATTGCGACATATGCAAATTTCGACTGACGCAGTAAGGCTATCCAGTCGTGCTTCTCGCTGCATGTGCGCGCTCGTTTCCGTAACGCCTGCATGTAACCGATTTAGCGTACGACGAGACGAGCGACGTCGACAACGACGAGAGTCAGCGACGAAGATTTCTCACTGTCGCCTGTTGGATCGCTTGTTTTTTTGGGTTTCCAGAAAACGTCAATCACCGTCTTGGTTGCTTGCTCCCGTCGCTTCCGTGCGGTTTGCCTCGTCGCCCGATTGCCCGAGCGACAGCGAAGCGGGTCATCGTCGGTTGTCTCGTTGCTCGCCGAATCGCTTGCATGCGGTTTATACTTAATATCGAGGCGCCAATGGTTCAATGGTGTCTGCATGGAAATTAATTAAGTATAAACCGCATGTAAGCTATCTGGCGAGGGACCAGATAAGCTACGGCGACCCGCTTCTCTGTCGCTCAGTCAGTCGCGCGACGAGGCAAATCGCATGAACGCGACGGAGCAAGCGACCAAGACGGTGAGCGACGTTTTCTAGAAATCCCAAAACCGAGCGATGCGACGGGCGACAGTGAGAAATCTCCGTCGCTCGTCTCGTCGCACGCTAAATCGCTTACATGGCGGGTCGGCTTTACGGAAACGAGCGCGCTCATGCAGCGAGAAGCACGACTGTGATAGCCTTACTGCATCAGTTGCCATTTACATAAGTCGCAATAGTGTTGACTGCCCTTTATTAGCGACAAAAACGTAAGAAGGGGATGAACTTGCATGGTCATTGAAGTCTCATAATCTTGTATCGTCGACCCAATCGCTGTCCGATTCCATTCCATAAATAAGAAAATGCAAGAGCTATGTCGAAATATAAATATGAAATGATAAAATGAAAGTCTTAAATATCCAAAAGACCTAAAGAAAATCCAAGATTTCAACGTGCAACGTAAAAGAACACGAAAACGAAGCTCCGGTAGTGGCCTGTGCAGCACACAACGCGGAGCAACGGCGAGAAACAGAAGGTCGGCTATGGCGGCCCGGAATGCGCGCGAAGGGCGCGCCGACTGGTGGCAGCTCGAGTAACTGATTCGCTGAAAGCGTCTATACCCGAAACTCTCGGAACGCTGCCGCCGACTGCGACAAACCGAGGCGCAGGCGCGGAGAACGCCCGCTCGCAGCGCCTACGTAGCGGATGCGCCTGTCCCTAACACGTAACCTGTGAGAGACCGCGGGGAAGAAAGCGGGAGCCCCCCCCCCCCCCCCCCCCCCCCCTCATCCTCCAGTCACGCATGTGCGCCCGCTGGTTGGGAGCAGACCCTACTGGAACCAATGGGAAGGGATCAGATCCACCCATCACTGTGCGGTTCCAGTGCGTTGCGTCTCACTGGATCTGGCTGGTTACAACCAGAACCGCGCAGTACCAGATCGGATCCGCGCATGTCTGAACTGTCGACAAGTTTGGAACCACGCAGGTCCGCGCGGATCCGAACTGGAATCCCTCCGATCTGACATTTTCGTACGGGGAGCACCAGCGATTTCCACAACTGCCTTCCCCAGAATGGCATCGGGCATCACAACCATGGGAAACGATCCATGCCGATTTCGCCGTCCTCTGGAAGTAGCTGCAGGTACGCTAAATGCAGAACATACAATCAAGTTCCTTCAAATAGGAGTTTTGGAACTTCTTTGCGATATTCGGATTGCTTGAAAAGGTGGTCATGGATTACAGTACGTAATTATCACAAGCTGAAGAGTTCTTCAATATTGCTTTTGTAACAGGGTCCTCCAAAGATTCTTTCAGACTGCAGACTTCATTTCTCTGGACTGCGCTTCGTCAGTGGTCATTGATATATTTAATTGGTAATGCAATTAAATTCAAACGAGCTGGACAAGCATGACGAAAATAATCCCCTTCTCCAGGAATTATTTTTGTCGTATATATATATACAGGTCGTTTTTTTAAGCGTAACAGATTTGTCTAAAAAAAGCCGTGAAAGTTACACTTATGCCGCTTGTGGAGGTGAGTTATACGGCCAGGGGGACATATTATAGGGGGCTAATCGTAACGATCAGTCGTCTAATTAATTAAATTCCGTTAATTAACTTGTTAATTAATGAAAACAGACATATGGTTCCAATTAGAAACCTGCTCAGCGTCATCGAAAACCACTAAATCAATCATTTTCAGAAATACTTTTGGCGCGTGAGAAGCGTAGTATTGTACTAAAGTTACCACTCGTGGAGCAGGTACAAGGCTGGGGCTAGATAAGAGACGGGAAAATCGCGCGGGCGCCATATTGCAACCGCTAGCTTTGTACCTGCTCCACGAGGTGTAACTTTAGTGCACTATTACGCTTCTCACGCACTCAGTCTTTCTGAAAATGACTGATTTAGAGGTTTTCGATGACGCTGAGCAAGTTTGTAATTTTAACCGTGTCTATTTTCATTAATTAAAGTTAACTAACGAATTTTAATTAATTAGACGACTGATCGTTACGATTAGCCCCCTATATGTCCCCCTGGCCGTATAACTCACCTCCACAAGCGGCGTAAATGTAGTTTTCACGGCTTTTTTTTAAACCAATCTGTTAAGCTTAAAAAAAAAAAAAACACCCTGTGTATATATAGAGAGATAGAGAAAGGTGAACTACATGATGCGACATGAGCCCCCATACGTTGCCCCCACATATTAGATACACTTCCGGAGTCCCTGAAGATACATGAAACAGGTAACTACGAATATAGTGCTGCTGTTGATGAAATATCCAACAAATACTATGGCGAAAGAACCCGCGTTTTGATGCAGATTTTTTCATCCTTTTTTACATCTTCGCTTGCGCTTCTGAAGCGTGTCGCGACGTCTTTCCTTATTTTTTTTTTCAAGCGCTTTTATTTTTGTGTTTGTAGTAGTGGGCTGTGGGCCGGGCATCACTGGAAAGACTGCGGGCATCCGCGGGCCGGACGGAGCGCTTCAGCAGGCCGGGGTTTCGAGACCCCTGCTCTATAGCGAGGTAAATTCGCTCTATGCAGTCTTCTCACGTCAAACGAGCAAATAATCAATAAAAATATTCTGGGCTTTCCTTAATGTATAGACATTTTAACGAGTAGTATGATTAAGGATTCACATAATTTAACATGAAAAAAAAAGGCAACAATTCGTAACCAAGCGGTCCCAACCGAGCATGCTAACGAAATGGGAACCACGTGCGAGCAAATTCATATGTCACGCAGAAAAAAAACAAAAAAGAAAAAAACTTGTGCTTGCTAATCTTCAATAGCGCGCTTCGAAATGCAACTAAAACTGTTAAAACTGTGCTGCATTAGGAATGTAGGTAAAATTGGTATGAAACCTGTGAAACAAACATACGGAGCCAGAGACCTGGAATGGATTATGATGGCCAAACCCTGATGAATTCCCAGAGCTGCCAGACAAAAATGAAAACTCTTCCAAAAATTAATTCGTTTGCAGATTTTTTCACTTTAGTGCAATTTTTCTGTTTGGGAGCAGCAAGGCACAGGCAAGTGGGAAAATATCAAAATGGTGCACCCCTGCTAAGGTTGTGCAAATCATGCCCAAACACTTTCTTCTCCAGGGGGCCTTTGCAAGGTCACCCTTTCAATTCCTGGGGGGGGGGGGGGGGTTTGCAAGGATATGACATCATGGGCAGAATGGTACCCAGATCTGTTTTGTTGACTGAATGTGTGTTCGTTCACCAAAAACCAAAAGGTTCTTCCTAAAAATAAGCTTGTGTATGTAAATTTTTTACTTAAAAAAGTTGACCTTGGGGGCTTAGGGTAAGCAGTTGCCCCTCCCTCCCTCCCTCCCTCCCCCCCCACCCCCCCCCCCCCCCCCGCCAAAGTTTACCCATGATTTACTGTCACATGTCATCAGAACATAGCCATGTGCTGGACAAGCAATGAAAGAGAGAATATAGGCAACAGCAACGCACACAACTTTAATCGTTTATGCATGCAAGCTCGCTGTATGAGCATTGTAGATTGCAGGCTCCATCATGAATCTCGGGTTGTGTCCTCAAAACAATGCCATCAGTGGCTAACTCTACAAGCAAAAAAGGAAGTTTGCTTCCTCCAAAGTTAGTCAAAAGTTTGCATACAAAAAGTCAGGATTTCAGTCACAGGGCTCACCACTATACTAGTGCATAGCTATCATATTAAGCAGCAGGCACAAATATGGCAAAATTATAAATAATTGGCACTAGTTGAGACTATTTGTTTGCAGGCACTACAAACCAACAGCAAAATGTTGAGAGATCAATTTAAATGTGGGCATGAAGAGCCAGCCGGAAACAAAACAGAGTAATGGCTTCACACTGGAGGTTTTTCAACATCATTTTAAAATAAACATCAGAATAAAAAACAACACTTATTACCTTGTCGTAAACCGCCAAAACACATTTTTGACCGTCTCCCTCTTGGCACTTGGGCATTATGGTCTGTACAAACAGGCAACAGACCTATTTTTGATTAAGAGGGCCAGAACAATAAATATAAAAAGATAAAACATTGGAACACATCACTTTTTAAAACTAAAATTTGCTGCTAAATTTTAAGCCTTCTGCAAATTTAAAACCAGGGCTTACACAGACTTTCAGGCTTGATAATGGTTATAAATCATGACTAATTTTGATACGTGGGCTAAACAGGACACCCAATCTCAATGTTCATTGCTAAAACTTTCAACACGGCAGAAAAACTAGCCGAAACAATGTCAGTGCCCGCAATGGCAAGGGCACTACAACATAGTTCCTTCTTTCCTTCCCCATGAGAAAAACACTTTAAACAGCATGAAACATGGCACAGCTGCAAAAGCAATCGAACAATTGACAACTTTGTGTGTAACTCCTAAATGGCTGTAATGAAACAAACACACAAATCACAAACATGGCTTTGCTCAAAGAAACTCCGAAACAAGCTTAGACTTTGTGCGTAAGGTGTCTATACCTAGCAAGATCTTGGATAGATTCATATAATATGTATGTATAATATCTTCGTGTGATAAGTTACTAAAAAGTTGGGCGTTCGATGTGTAAGACTCGTAAGACTATTTCCAAAGGCACTCGATGCAAGACTGCTGGACGCAGACTTCAGGCCTGGCAGGCGGCATTCCCTTTAGGCATCGTTGTTGGACGTTGCGACGAGATTGGTCAAGTCGGCAGAGACGGCACGTTTAAGAGAGGGTTCCCGCTTCTTGGTCTTCATCCTTCGTTCCAAGGTCTTGCTTGCAAACTCTGCCTCTGACAGCTTTTTCTGAGTATGCTGCAATTGGAATGAGGAAACCAGTTTCAGCCATTTTGTAAAGTTGAATTAAGGGGGGACACTGGCTAGAGGTTGAACTTTTCAACTACTCAAGTGATCGGAATGGAATTAGCAGGGGAGATTTAACTTCAGATGTAGGTGTACTGTGCAAACTTTCAGCTCTCTAGGGCAACTTTACATACCTGCATAAAAAGATGCGTCACTCTTCATTAAGAAATCTATGATATGCAAATAAAGCTATTAAGCACCATTTTAACTGCTTGAGTATAAAGTGGGGGATGTGGGACTTTGGGCTATCTAGTTTTTATAACTTAAATGTAACTATTTCAGGAAGGGTGATTACTTCAAAATATGAGATGCATATCTGTCCTATGTCAATTTTTGAAAACAGTTTTTTCTCAAAGAGGACTTTAATGTAGAACAAAACAAAGTAGATAGCCCGATTCCCCAGTAAATTTCAGCTCAGAAACATCTTGAATATGGTATCAGAATAATTTTACCTTCAAACAAAAGATTCCTTCGTATGAAATTTGCAGCAAAAAGTGGAACTGAGAAAAATGCAGTCAAACATTGAACTCCTTTACTTTGTTACTGCCTCATAATGTGTTGAAAATATTTTATATCAACGTAACTATTTGACGCATGGTTATGAAATGTAGTGTAAGGGTGTATAATATGTTTCTAAAACCAAAAACCCCAAAATTGAAAAATAAATTTTTTCAAAAAATTTTGAAGCTCAGGCCCATGTCCCCCCTTAAAAAAACTGCCAACCGGAAGAGCCTAGTAACTAGTATTCCAGAGGAAATAAACATTTCTAATTGTCCAGGCACTGAACAACAAAAGGTCTAATAGCAATAGATTAAAGAAGTTTCAGTAAAAGTTATCAGTAATTCCAGAAAACAGCTGAAAATGACAAACACCTAATTGTTCAAATAACAGTTATGGTGACTTTCAAGATATAATCTTGATTCTTGTGACAGGGTACTTAAATTATCTGATAAAGATCATGAAAATGTTTTAAGGGGGGACACTACCTGGGAATGTCAACTTTTGAAACGCTCACTCAATCGGTGTGATATTTGTAGGTAGTATTTGTAGCCATATAAAAGGAGGGCATGCAAAGTTTCAGCCCTGTGAACCAGTTTTATGATGTATTATACCTCCAGAACGAAGTAAAGCATAGCTTTGCATGGAATCTGCTCAATGAATCTGTTGTTGAGAAATGGTGTTGATAACCAGATATATTTCTGGTGGAATGCATACTGGAATACCTGTTACCAGTTACTATGAAAAGAAATTTCAGGAAATATGCATTTTTCAGGTAAAAAAACAACATATATATATATATATATATATATATATATATATATATATATTGAAATTTTTTTTTTCTGGGTAGTGCCCCCCCTTAAAACATCAGCACTGCATCAATTAGAGTTAATCAAGAACCGTTATGACTGTAACCTTTTTATTGTGTGATGCTACAAAATGTCAGATATCAAAATGACTTGAACTGCTTAGAATGTGAGAACATTTTCTATTTAATCCATATATTACTTCACCAACATGCCCTGCTTTTATACCTATAATGTCTAAAACTGCAGTACTTTTTCTTAAATTCAGGCCTCTGTCCACCATTAGTATTTACTACCCTGATTTCAATTCTGCGAACAGTTCTCGAAAGATGATAGCAACTGATGCTATGTCCACCTAGTCTATTTTGCCTAGTTCTTTTGCCTTATTTTTAATTAGGCATATGAACTGCGATCCCCATACAAAGGTTTCAATATTATAACATAAGAACCGCAATCCAGAATTAAAAAGTAAAAAGAACCTTTCCATTTTCTTACTTGGGCAAAAGATCCATAACAAAAGTCAGAGTTCTCGGAGAAAATATGATCTAGAAAACCTCGTAGAGGCTCAGAACACATTGGGGTTCTATAACTTCCATCTTTATTATACATTAATTTTAGGTTATTGCTCTCAAAATGAACTTGACAGCTTGCACGTCAGGCATGGTGCACGCCACGTGACACGCGAGGCAGAAACGACCCCAATAATGTACACTTCTATTCTTTACATATCATACCATCACTATATGGCCGAAGTGCACTGAAGTATGTGGATATACAGAGTCGATCCAAGATCCCGCGCACAGCCGCATTAAACCAAGTGTAACAGGAGCTCAATAGGCAGCAGGACATTATTTTACGCTCCTAAAAGTTAGCAAGTAGACCTCCTTCAAAGAGCACTGACAAACTGACCACATATAGAAACAGTGATCAGGGGTATGTCCGAAATGTCACACATGCCACAGCAAATCTGTTGTAATCATATGGATGAATAAAAAAAAAGTCATTCAACACGCTGGTTTTTGTGCTAACTGCAGCGTTGTGCTGCAGTTAGGCTAATTGGTACATAATTAAAAAAAAGTAAAACAGTGCAAAGATAGACGAAGGGAGAGCAAGGAACAGGGTACTACACAGACAAGGCACTGACTCGTCAAATGAACTCTTTACTTTCAGAAATAAAATATCCAATTAAATAGAATAAACAGCCAGTGCCTTGGGTGTGTAACCCCGTTGTTTGTGTTCACTGTCTATTTGAGCACTGTTTTACCACCTTATAAATGCCTTAACTGTAGAAAAAGTCACTATGTGTCCACGGTTTATTTAAGCATTGTTTTAGCCTCTTAAAAATGCCTCAACTGCAGCGAGAGTCGCTAATAAATGAGTGGCCAGCAGACCCACCTGAAGCTGGGAGCTGAGCACCACCTTCTCCGACTTGAGGGACGAGAGCTTCTGGGCGATGCAGTTCAGCTCGCGGTCCTTTTGCCTCCTCACTTGCTCCAGGTGCTCCCTACGTTGTCGCTCATCCTCGAGGCACCTAAGCTGCTCCTCTTTCTCCTTCTCCAGACGCTCCCGCTTCTCCCACTCCTCGGCCAAGATCCTGCACGGTGAATGCCCAGAAATGAGTCTTCTTCCCCTCCGCGACAATACTTCCCATCTCGGGGGACGAGATGCACTCTTGCATCTTTGCAGGAAAGGTTGAGAAACTTAGGAACTTTGACAATACTACACATACCAGGAAGAAAAGAAGTCTAGTTTGGGTTCGCAACAATGCATCACACGTGGCCTGAATATGCCCAAAATGTACAAAAACTGAAAAGCAATTTTATCTACAAGCAGGCCATGCAAAAAGAATTCTAGGCTGCTCAAGGAGTACCATATTTTTGCACGTACCATATTTAGTCTCATAATGAATGCACCCCCCCCCCCCCCCCCCCCCCCAAAGAAAAGCATCAATATTTGAACGTTTTTTTTTCCTCTCGCATAATGAGTGCATTTCTAATTTTCAGCACTGCGAGTTTCGAACTGCGTCCAACTCGGCAAGCCACTGAGCCCACTGCACCAATTTTTTTTTTGCCGCCAAGCAGCCGGGCCAAGTCAAGCCAAGCCGGTCTCGTAATGGCTGCAAGTACATAGTTGCAAAAGTGATCAACCGTGAATCCGAGCGCCACGCACACCTAACGAACCTGGAGTCGAGGAATTGCCCAGCCCCGGACATGCTTTGCCCACCGAATGCATTGATGTCAACAAACACGCCATCATCTGTGGTCCGCTTTCCGACAGTGAAATCGTGAAAATGGTTAGGCCTTACACGGTCGCGTCGCTCTCCGTGCCGAGTGAGCTTTGTAGGGTGAGTGGCTGCCTCTGCCATCACCCGGAGACGGTGACCGCCCAGCCTTTGACGAGCGGCCCACAAGCTCTGAGCAGCGAAGCAGTGAGCAACATTTGCGCGGGCAAGATGAGAGCGGCGCATTGCCCAAGGACAAGGATACAAGGGGAGATGGCAAGGGGGAAGTGGCAGCGACCCGTTCCGAGAACCGGTTCCTCTGCGGGAAACGCTCCCTAAAAAGAAGAAAATAAACTGAACCATATTGCTTTTCAACAAAGTCGGATGTCCTCTCTTTTTCATCATCAAAGAACACGAACAGCAACCCACAAACCAGAGCCCCTGGACGAGCGACTTCTATGTGGTTCCGCACAACATCTCATCATCTCTTTATCGGACAATGAGAGGGCTGTTGGAAATTCCAATCCACCACAATCTCTGCCAGCAATCCGATGGAAGCTGCCGCCATTTTGGATGAAGGATGCGAAGGTGTAAATCGCACAAGTGGAGGAGCAGTTCCAACTCCACCGCGTCACATCACGGGCCACGAGGTATCTTCACGTCGTCTCGTCGCTGCCAGCAGAGGTCGCCGACGAGCTTGAGGATATTCTCACTGCCGCACCCACACCCGACGCCTACGATCACCTTAAAACGGCCATTCTCGCTCGGAAGACCGCGTCGGAGCGCAGTCAGCTTTAGGATCTCCTCAACATGAAGGAACTCTGTGATCGGCAACCCTCGCAGCTACTGCGTTGCATGCGACAACTCGCGGACGACGCAACTTCGGAAGTGGACACGTCGCTGCTCCGGGAGTTGTTTTTGCAGCACTTGCCGAACAACATGGTCGTTGTCCTTGCAGCAGCCGAGGACATGCCTCGGGAGCGCCTGACTGACTTGGCGGACAGGGTCGCTGAGTACTCCACACCCAGCATGGACGCCATGTCCACCTGTACACCAAAAGTTGAGACAACGGAGGCTGCTGCGCCTTCCGATGAAATAGCGGCCCAACTCAGCCGCTTAGAGAAGGCGATTCGCGACTTGCGCCTGCCTGCTGCGTGGTAGTCTACCTCTCGTGGGAAAAAAGACTCCCACCACGGTTCCCCAGCTCCTGCGGCACTAGACCGTGACTGCTGTTGGTATCACCACGCCTTTGGGCCAGCAGCCTGCAAGTGCACCCTGCCGTGTTCGTGGCAAGAAAACTCGACCACCGGACACTAGCAGCGGCGGGTGATCTCAGTTCACTACAAAGCCGCTTGTTTCTGTTGTGGAAAACGTCGCTGGTCACCGGTTTCTTGTGGACACCGGAGCCGAGGTCAGCGTTCTCCCAGCATCGCCAGCTGACAAGCGTCACCTCGTTCAAAAACCCCACTCTGCATTGTCAACAGTTCTCCGATTGCCACCTATGGTCAACACTCCCTGACCATTAACCTTGGCCTAAGGTGGACATTTTGCTGGGTGTTTATCGACGCAAACTTTTGCACGGCTATTCTGGGAGTCATTTCTCAGCCACTTCAGTCTCAGCGTAAACATGCATTCTCGTCGCCTGGTTGACGCAACGACTCGCCTCTCAGTCAACGGCATCGCATCATCCTACGTTGTCTCGTAGGTACATCTTGTGCCTCCAAGTTCAACGTTCAGGGAACTGCTAACCAAGTTTCCCGAGCTGACTAGAACTATCAACTCGGATGAGCCGGTTTGGCACTCCATCACTCATCACATCGTGACCACAGGGCCTCCCACGTTCGTGCGCCCTCCTCGTCTCACAAGCAAGCGACTCATCGCAGCCCGCTGAGAATTCAACCACATGTTGCAACTGGGAATCATCCGCCCTCTGCGAGCAACTCGTCGTCACCCGTCCATTTCATCCCCAAAGTCACCGCTGGTGACTGGCGGCCATGCACAGTGTTGCCGAATCGTGGGAAATTTCCCATTTCGAAGGAAAAAGCATGACAGCTAGGGAAAAAGGGAAACCAGAATTTAAACATGTGTAAAACGTGGGAAATATTTTTTAATACAAAACTAAACCAAAGCTTCCTAATTTTCTTATCTACATCAAACAAGAGAAAGGAAGTGGCACTAGCCACTCAAGCAGTTCGCTGTTTTGAAGAGCCAGCCTAATTCATCACGACTTGCATCATGTGCGTGCTGCAAGCCTGCCAGTACAATACTGCCGGTTTGCGCGCTTTCCTCACCACTAGCTACGCACACTGGTCCTCTGTCAGTGCGATAGATCATAAATCGCACAGTGGATGGAGTCCCTTTCACATCACAAAAACAAGCAGACGATTTTAGTTTAGTTAATTGCCCGCTTGCCCTCACTCAGTTCCCCTGGTTCATTCAACCAATGTATAGTGCGGAAAAGAAGGGGAGGGGAGACCAGTTTGCTGAATGTCAACTACATTTCGTAATTTATGCGATTCAAACTTCAACAAAACAAAAACATACGGGAGGTGTTGGTGTATTTAAATATACTTGGCGTCATGCGTATTTTAAGAATGACTTCCGTCACTAAAATGGTGTTGTGGGAAAAAAAGGGAATTTTCGTTGCTCGACGAGGGAAAAACCGAAGTGTCAGTGCGGCAACACTGGCCATGCGATGATTACCGCACACTCAATTCCCAAACCGCCCCGGACCGGTATCTTTTACCGCACATCCAGGACTTCACCGCAAACCTGGCAGGCAAGTCCATCTTCACCACGATCGACTTGGTTAAGGCTGTGTTGTGATATTTTTTATCTTTTAACGGACCGTGCAACAATGTTTGAACTTCAGTCAAATAATTGTGGGAGTTGTTCTTTGTCAAGTCGAGATTAAAGAACAGAAAAGAAACTTTGCCTGCGCAAGTTAGTTCTTTTAAAAAAAAATGTCAAACAATTCAAGTTTTGGGTGCCTTCCAACTACTCTCAACGCTTACACTGTCTTCCAAGTCACGTGCGCAGTGACATGTACCAGGATGCACTAGGGACATAGAGAAACCGATTGGGTTCTCTTTCAGAGCCTCCAGCGTGCGCTTGCTGCGCGAATCACATGGCTACCTTGAAGGTTGGTCAAAGTGAAGTGGAGAGGGGGAGAAAAAGGGGGGTGGAGGGGGGGAAGCACTTCCCTTATGGTACAGAAGTCGGACTGACGTAGTAGTGATGGGGTGAGACTCGAGAGAGAAATGGTTTTACTCACCTAGGGCAGATGGCGCCACTAAAACTTGACTTAGTACAATTTCGTCAATGATACAAGGCTTTTGATGCACTTACTCATGTTGAAACAACAATATTTATAAAAGATAGCCTTAGATTGAGCACACAATGGCGCATCCTCCCAATTTATTACAGTGCACACAGGTTGGCGTCACGAATTAGTTCCTATAACCGCCACACCACCTACTGCAAATCGCGAAATATTCCCGTTCTTTGCTTTGCTATTACGCAAAGGAATCACAATATTTCAAAAGGATGAGGCGGTTTCTCCATTCCTTTTGGCAGGATAAAAGAATGCAAAAATTAAAAAAACTCGACTCAAATTCTTTTGAAGTTAAAATTGTTGCATCGCCCCTTTAAAGAAACAATGAAGGCAATTTCGGATATAGTTTTGACGATTGAACTGGGTTCCAGGCACGTCTCAGGCCACGTTGCCCAAATTTCAGCCGAAACCGGCGCTTGTGTGTTGTGCAAATCAATTAAACAGTAGCGGTAACAATGGTACCGGGATCGATTGCAGCGACGCCCCGAGAGTTGCGGGAATAGACAGGAGAAGTGGAATTCGTGGGGCCAAGAAGCGCGACGTCCCAAGAGACGCGTCAGCGATTGGTCGAAACAAGAGATGTGCCCTCAGTCACATTTTGATTCGCTATTTTTGTTAACACTGTTCCAATTTCCGTTTGAATAACCATAAAAAGTATAAATCGGACCGGAAATGATTACTAAGCCGTAAATAAAATAGCATAATTCTTTTTCTCTTTGCTACGCAGGACGCGAAATGGGCAACAAGCAACAATAGGCAAACAAAATAACTAAAAAAAGAACACACCGCGGGACACGTTTGTTTTTAGTTTCAGATATTGGAGTCGTGTTTACTCAGGGAACACGGTACTCAAAGGATTCTGCAAAGTGGTAGTCATGCCAAATTTGTGCGCTGTAGACGGCTGTTCAAACGGTTGACTGAAGACCAGTAATCGTTTGGGCGACTCTAGTTTTCATGTGTGGGTTGCTGTTCGAGTTCTTTGAGGACGAAAAGAGAGGACGTCTGACTCTGGTGAAAAGTAAAAATGGTGTTGTTTATTTTCTCCTTCTTGGGGAGCATCCCCTGCGGAGGAAGCGGTCCCCGGAAGGCATAGATACCGCTTTCCCCTTGGCGTCTCCCCCGCGTCCCTGCCCTTCGGCAACGCGCCGCTCTCGTCTCGCCTGCGGAAATGTTGCTCGCTGCTCGTTCCTGGCTGGGCGGTCACCGTCGGGTGACGGAGGCCGCCACACACATACTCCCGTTCCGTTGGTGAACGATAGCCCGAACTCGCTCGCGAGAGCGGCATTGTTGTCCATGCTGACAGATCCGGCGAAACGACCACGCCACCGCGGTGCTATAACCCACCGCAGTAACTAGAGTCTCGAACACCTATGGAGCCTTTCAGGAAACATTTCATGGGCACCACCATCTTGACGTCACGTGACCCTGCCGCTATAGCCGACCTTCAGTTTCTCGCCGTAGCTCCGCGTTGTGTGCTGCACCGGCCACTACCGGAGCTTTGTTTTCGTGTTCTTTACTTCCGCGTTGAAATTTTGTGTTTCCTTTAGGTCTTTTCGATATTTCGGGCTTTCACTTAAAAATTTTATATGTACATTTCAACATAGCTCTTGTATTATGAAATGGAATCGGACAGCGAATAGATCGACGATACAAGATTGTGGCCTAGGCTTCAGAGACCATGTAAGTTCATCAAATTCTTACGTTTTTGTCGCTAATAAAGGGCAGTCAACACCATTGCAACCTATGCAAATTTCAACTGACGCAGTAAGGCTCTCGCAGTCGTGCTTCTCGCTGCATGTCCGCGCTCGTTTCCGTAAAGCCGAACCGCATGTGAACGATTTAGCGTGCGAAGAGTCGAGCGATGGCGACAACGACGGGAGTCATCGACAAGCAACAAAGATTTCTCACTGTCGCCTGTCGCATCGCTCGGTTTTCGAATTTCTAGTGAACTCAGTGCTCACCGTCTTCGTCGCTTGCTCCCGTCGCTTCCATGCAGTTTGCCTCGTCGCGTGACTGACCGAGCGACAGCGAAGCGGGTTGCCGTCACTTGTCTCGTTGCTCGCCAAATCGCTTGCATGCGCTTTATACTTAATTTCGATGCACACAGCATTGAACCATTAACACCTCGATATTAAGTATTTATATCATTTCTCATTTCTGAGAAATGATTTCTGGCCCTCCGAAAACGGAGGTTTTCGGAGGCCCAGAAATGAGAATGGAGATAGTTCAGTTTCGGTTTCTTCAGTTCTTTATAGGCACAAAAATATGCGTCACAAATGTCAAGAAAAAATTGGGAAGCATGCTAGGTTCCCAAGAAGCCTAAAGAGACCATTTAAAAAAGTTAATTAAAATTGTCTTCATTGTCCCTTTAACATGCTGTGCTACCAATTGACAATCGTGAACGCAACGTTGAACAGATATAAGCAAAGTGTCAGTGATGTTCACTGGTGAGCTATGTGAAGAGCGAAATGCAACGAAACGTTTGCATCCTTTCAGCATTATTTACATTGCTTATATTTAATGAAAACAAGCACATATTTATATTAGGGGTGAAGCCCCTTAGGGTCTAGCCTGTCCGTCCGGCGTCAGTGCTCACATCGATCTTGCTGGTGCTGGAGCTCGTGCTTGTGAGCTCACGTGCTCATGTAGGGCAAAAAAAAAAAAAAAAAAAAATGTTTCTGTAGTCGACAGGATTCGATCGAACCTGTGTGGGGAGACACCAATGGATTTCTAGTCCATTACCTTAACCATGCGGCCACAAATGCGGGATGAGTGGGGGGCTCTGAGATGTGGTAGTAACTCAAGAGCTGGTGATGTCATGGATGAAGCATTGCATGTGGTTGCTCAACGTCTATACGAGAGAGGGTGCTGCGGTCAAATGCGTAGATAATCGTGTTAAATTTGCATGCACTGGCTCAACGTTTATAGAAGAGAGGGCGCTGCGGTCAAATGCTCAAATGCGTATATAATCCAAATAAAAATAAAAAAATCAAAGCGCTCTGTCCTGTCCCCTCTACTTTTCCTTGGTGTTTGCGCTTTTGAATTTTTATACAATGCGTATATAATCACGTTCCATACCACACATGGATGAAAACAAACGAAAATGCTGCGGCTCAGCGTCTACGCAGACAAGCCCCAATCAACATCATTCACCACGTGGAGATGCGGTCAATTTTTTATCACTGCAGACTTTTCTTTTATATGTAGTAGTTTAAACAGCCTAAAATGGGCTTTATATAACTTTACTCAACAACATCAGGCCCAGCTCTTCCAGCAGAACCTGCCGGGTGGGGCATTCAGTTTCATTCTCAATGTACTTTGCGGGAGACTACGGGCCTCAATTGGTTGTGGAGTGAGGCAGTCGAGCTCGACTGACGGCGCTAGGCGCTGGTGGGGGGGCCGTGCCCGGCGATTCTCGCACTGCAGGGGTCTACTCACTAGTGACGACATTCGAGGCGACGGGTTCAGAAAAGCAAGAAAGGCTGCTCCTACCACAAAGCACTCCACTCTTTCCACCTTAGCCAAGCGAACAACGGAAAGGAAACGAGTGTTCTCGCTCTGCCAAAGTGGTAAGAGCGGACCATTTTGCAGGGGAAGCTTGTCCCACTTTTCTTCTCCAGCAACAAACTACGGGCGACGTTGCTTAGATGGGCCGTGGCCCCGAGGAGAGCCGGCGGGCCTCACCTGGACTGGAGGTTGCGAACTATTTCCTCGTCCCTCTTGGCCTGCCTCTCTTCCTCCAGCTTGCGGGCCAGCTCCTCCTGGGCTGCCTCCAGCTCCTGCCGCTTCTGGTGCTCGCTCCTCAGGTCCTCCTCCGCTTGCCTCCGTGCCTTGGGAGACAAATACGAGCACTTCGCAAACGGGGACACGTGCGGCGGGACGCTCCGTCAGAGATTGTAGTCGCCGACGGAGTGAGAACGGTGGGGTGTGTTTTTTGAACACTAGGCCTCCAGCATGTGCGCGCTCGAGGTGCTCGAGGTGCGCAAAATGCCAAGCGTCGTCAAAGGTAGGGAGCTTGCGCTGGAGGCAGGACAGCTGAAGCTCCTCCCTGCCGTTCTCACTTTGTCAGCAACTATAGACAGTCTGCTGTGCGGAGACTATTGTGCACCAATTATTTATAAACAATAATTGGAACCGCTGCCTGCGGTATGGCCTTTAATACTATTAACTTTATTAATGGTGCCTTCATACAACTCTATGCCCATAGAGGTACTTACTAAATGATAAATTCAACAAAAAATTAAACCTGTCAACCTGTAACCTAGTCAAGGTTACTTAAAGATCGGCTCGCTATAGACCGGTGTCCGAAATCCTAGCCCCTGGCAATAAAAATGGGAAATAATAATCTCAAATGCTGGCTCTTGTGAAGAGAGGGACTGTGCACAAAACAAGACTTTTTCTTTTTATGGCACTCTTTACATAGGTGTCGTTTTTGGGGCTTCGAAACTTAGCATTTCTGATATTCTTGCACTACAATATGTATGATGGTTTCTAAAAAACAAAAGTCTTGCAAAAAGCGCAGCCCCCTTAATGTGCCATGGCGCCAGCATAAACAAACATGGCGGCGCTCACAGAACAGAGCGGACACTGGTCTATATCCGAGACTCGCTTAAATATCAAATTTCTAGAACACAATCACCGCCAACAATGTGCGCAGCCCGTCAGGATATCGCTGTTAATCATATAAACTAGGTGTGATTTTGGTTTGGAAATGTTGCTGCAAGAGTTGTTACATAACCACCCCTAGGTTCCATTTCTTTTTCAAGTGCATGACACGTGCATGTCTGGAAGATTACCTTTTCCATAGACACCAAAAAAAAAAAAAAGAAAAGTTTTCTTTTTAAAGGATCAAAATGAGATACAAACTTAAAAACTTTTCTATAAAAAAAATAAAAAATTGTGAAATATTTACATTGTTTGATGCAATTTATATATGTGTAGCCAACTGATCTCTATGTCTATTTGCTGGATCACGCTTGACCAGCTCTGCCTATGGACGGGAATACGGCCACGGTCGGCCATCTTTTTGGTAGTTACATTATCTCTAGCCATCATAGTAATATGGCGGACAGTGCAATGGCCGCAGGCTGCCCTAAAATAGCCGTGGATCTAGTACACTGTACCGTGGGTGATGTTTCGTGCTTGATTGAAGTTGTTCGACGAAGCCGATTCTTGAAACCCGGCGTGAACGGTAACCTCATCTTTGAGGACCCCGCGAAAGTTCTACGAAAGTGCAACACCAGGGGAAAGCAGTGCAGCTCGCAACGAAAGCAGACTCCGTACCGGCCTCTGCTTTCGATGGGACTTTCGATGCGTGCTGTGCTGCTTTTCCCCGGTGCTGCGATTTCGTGAAACTTTCACCAGGTCCTCAAAGATCGGGCTTCAAAAATATATTTCGTCAAACAATTTTAATCAAGCACGAAATATCACCCACGCTATTTTGATGGCAGCCTGCCACCACAACTGCCACAACGCTGTCTGTCATGGATGGATGATAGTGGCTGCAGCAACTGTACCTTGGCTAGAGGTGATATAACTCTACCAAAAGGATGGCCGCCAGTGGCCGCATTCGCGGAGCAGGCAAATGCAATCCAGCAATTATCATAGAGATCAGTGGTGTAGCCCTGCTCTAGGCCCCGCCCGGTCCTTACAAAACTAGGCACCTTTTCTCGGTTCTCATTGTTTGGAGAGATGATTGACGTGTGAAAGGCTGGTTGTAAAATTGTATCTCCATGCCGTAATAATATTTTAATTTACAATATTTTTATATTTGAGAAACAAAAAATTTCATCACTGTTTTGAAAAATATCCCGAGATCGCCTTTCTGCTTTGGCTTCATATGATAACAAATATGGCTGCCAGCGTTTGCGGAGTGCTCAACAAGCGTAGCTCTTTGAGCTAGTTCATTTTTACGAGTGCAAGTCGTTCTGCGTTCATGAGGTGTTTAGAGGAAAACCTCTTCAACCGACCTAGTTTGCAGCAAACTGATGCAAGTATGCGCCTTCAGAAGCGCCGTGCGGGTGCTTGGATTCGTAGCGGGACTGGCCTAAGCCTAGCCTCCCGCTTCAACCATGTCGCTTGATCTGGCTTGATTTCTACCTTTGAGTGTGTTGATGCTAAATAAAGATGTTGGTTACCATAAAAGCAGCCCCGCTGCTCTGTGACTTGTATGACCATTGTGACTGCAACCATGGTTTCAATAACCAGAAGGTACCTACACAGGTAAGTATTTGCAAGCCATATGGCTGGAGGCAATCGGGCGTTCGACTCGCATCAAGTTTGTCTAGGTATGTTCCCGCCATTTCACTTTGAAAGCAAGTAGCTCCAAGGTTTTGCGGTGCACCTGGCCTGCCCATACAAATATCTTTAGGTTGCGCTTTAGTTGTGCGTCATGATGCTCGCCCACCTGTCTGGCGGATGCCATGCAAAAAAGGCTCGAGGTACACCTAAGCACTTCTTACGAGTTGTGAATGCGAAAGCACGCACGCTCCCTTCTTTAATCTGCGACAGACAATGCGCTGACCTTGGGCGTGAAACAGTGGAGCCGCTGCCTCGATCGTTCAAACTGTTGTGTGCCTTGCGGTGCGAGGAAGGAACAGACAGCAACATAGTTCCCAGAAGAACGAACCCCTTGGTTCCGATAAGAGGCAAGTGAATGAAGTGATCAGTGATAACACAACTGTGTGATAACACATTTAGGATGACACCACACAAACTGACGCACAGTGGCCAATGGGAGCCTCATCGAAGCGCGCCAGCCAATGGGACCAAAGTGTAAAAGGTGCCGTTGGCTAGCTTTGTGCGTGGTTTCATTAAAGGGACCCTGCAAGAACTTTTTTACTGGTTTTTAATTTGCACCAATCCTGAGTGCACTGAACGTAGTAACTCAGTGAAACTTTTCTTTTCTCGAAATTCGCTTTATTTTAGAAGTTATAGACAAATTAAAATTACAAAAACAAGCAAAAAATAACCTCCCTCATGATGTCCTTGGTTGCTTGAGTGGCTGTGAACTAGAGGAGGGGTAGTAAGCTCATCGCGAGCGTTCACGGCTGCCGCACTCCGTGTCGACGGCGCGAGAGGGCGCCACTAAAGCATGTTCTGGATAGGCTGTATGCAGCGGGCAGCCAGAGCGGCTCTCATTGCATTTGCTGCGCGATTAAACACTAATTCGCCATGACACTTCATTGGCCACAAACGACAGAAAACACGGGGTAAAGATCAGTTCAGAATGGTATCCACTTCACGCTGCCATACCGCCAAATGGCCAAACCGCAAGACAAAGCTGCTTGCCGAAGGCCTTCGCAACGCTAGGAACCGGTCGGATCCTCCAGCCGAAACGACCGCAGCGCCGCCGCGTGCATCCGGGACCTTTCCGTGTCGGCGTCAGATCCCACTACTCCTTTCTAGTATGCGCCGCCTTTTCCCCCGCTTGGTGGCGGGTATGTCGTCGGGTCATTTCTTGTTTCCGTACTTTATAAACTGCATGAATTTCTTTTCTGATCTAAACTACTGAACAAAAACTACTTTTATAAATAATTGGAACGGTTTGTGCCACTTATATTTTGTATTTCGACTAAAAAGAAGCTTTTAGTGGCTCTGACCAGTAGTAAGCCCAGGACCAAAGACGTCACATTTTGCGCGCTTTCGGTACTGCGGGTCGCCCTCGTCGGTGGAGAAGTTTCCGCGTCGTCCAGTTAAAATATGACGCACTGGTATTTAGTTACTCTCTCCGTGCCCGCTGGCTTGCCCGAACTTCAAGAGACGTGAAAACCTCAAAAAAGGTAGACGCTTACATATGATTGCAGGGCCCCTTTAAGGTGCCGTTTTGCATGGTTTAAAAACTGATGACGTCTGCTCGCTCCATGAGACAGTTAATGCTTTCGCATTAAAAGTAACAAAAATAGAAAAGCTGAAAGGACTGCCTATTTCTTTTGTTGATTTTCTTGTCCTCTCGATCGCTTTTTACCGCACACTGACAGACGCTGACAAATGCTTGTATTGGACCATGGCTCGTGCTTGATGAAACGCTAGAACGCCGCTTTTATGACCGTGTCCTGCAGGTACTGCAGAAATTTTAAGACGGGAGTGGAATAGCAGACGGATAAGGGTTAAAATGGACACCGATGCGCACCCTTCATGTCTGCGTCTGGGCGTTGCAGATGACAACAGATGGTAGAGCAATGACAGACGATGCCGGAGGCTGCTACGTGTCTGCTCGCACGGCTAGCAGGTGGAGTCATACTTCCAGACACGACGTACCGGATGTTGTGAAAGGGAGACACTAGAGTTCCTAGCATGTCTGGCCGAGCAGTTAAGCAAATCCAGTAGTAATGGGCGGGGCCACCGATCTGTGGACGGGAATGGGTCGTGACCTCCACTTAAATTGCATCTAGCGACGTAAATATCGCATAAAAAAACTCTGTGAAAAATTATTTAAAAAAAAAGTGTCCAATCTATGCCCTTTCAAAAATCTTTTTTTCATTTCGGTGTTTTTTTTTAAGCGTACAGCTCCACTGCAGCAAAGCAAGATAAACAGGATTGTGACATCTACTTTGCTGGAGTCACATTTTCGCAGTAAACGGTGTACGGCAGGTAGTGCAATCAAAAAAGCTAATTAATCCGTCCGAGCAGATCACAAACATAAAGAAATGTTGTGTAATTTTCAGGTACTGTTAGCGTCTGATACAAAGATTATATCGCTCGAAATAGCTCATCCTTTAAATTGATAACAGCATGTTTTAAATACTTGTGCAAGCCTACTGCGACAATCTGACACTGTAACGGGGCTTAAGCTATCAGAATTTGTACTGAGAAAGTGACACCAACTTATTGGACAGTGTTGGCACACTCTGGCACATTCCGGAGCAAATGGCACAGCAGTCTTGCCACTGAGGCTAATGCAAAAATGGCATCCGTGATATTGTCCGAATTCAAATATCTGCCTTACCGAACTTCAGCCGACCTAAATATATTTGATCGAACAAAGATGCGTGGGAACAGAGAAATTGTGCTCACCGCCTTCTCGACCTCGAGCAGCTTGAGGTGCTGGAGCCTCTGCCTCTCCTCCTCCTGCCTCCTAGCCAGTGCCACTTGTCGCTCGTTCCTTCGTTTTCCCGCGAGGTATCGCTGGTAGGAACGATGCGTATAGGAATGCTGCGCTGCCGTCTGAATGGCTGGAAAGAGGCAACAAGAACAAAGGCCATGCTTTGACAGCAATGGGCCCTGCAGAAAGAGGCGAGGATGATGAGCTGTTGAGAAGGAGATCAGACCGTGGCGACTCCAAGCGGTTAACTTTAGAACTACACGGATGGTGACAACAAGTACAATGACTCGCGCTTGGCCGACTTAACCGAACGTGGCGTCAGCGTTCAGCTGGAGTGCGTGTTCTCCAATGAGGGAAAGGAGGGGCTCTTTTGTTACCATTCATGCCTGCATGAACAATGCAGCATGCACGGTGCCCAGCTCAGCACAAAAGCCGAAGTGGGTCAAGCTCCCATTCTCTGACGACTGCTTTCGGGAGAGATCAGGCACTTAACGTCACTTTGTTTATTGTTAGTATTCTCACATTACACTGTGCCCCACGCTCTATTGAAGAACATGACATAGACATGCCCACAAGGCCTGTAAGCATGTACACAGGCCTTGTGTTGGGTAAACACTGAGGTGTGGGGATAATGAATGGGTCAGAGCGCCCCCTATAGTTCGACCTCCTCGCCAATAAGCCTGCCCCTATGAAAAAAAGAATGCTAGGCCGAGTTTTAAAATTTTTGTCATTAGAGTTTAAGTAGATGACAACAAAACTTATATCTTTCCCAGTCAGTGACTCCATGGGTTTGTGGTGACAAGATGATGCCCGATAAATAGTTACACAAATAGCATCAATTAAAAGCGCACTAAAGAGGATTTTGCTATCGTTCGCTCTTGGTCATGAGTGAATCTTCGGGCCCTAAGCATCCTAAAAATAAAAAAAATAAATTACAAACACGAGATGCCAATTCTTTATTAAAAACGTGATGAAAGGTCGGGACACACCCCTTTCTGTGCCGATTTTTCCGCTCAGGAAAGGTGGGGCATACCCCAGCAGTAGTGTCAGCACGATGACGTTGGGTGCTCGTCGGCCGATCGCAAGCTGCCTCTCCCGTTGATTGCGAGATGGCCGAGAGCGTCCATCGTCACCACACCGACACTGCTGCTGGAGTATGCCCCGCCTCTTCCGGGCGGAAAAATCCGCTCAGAAGGGGGTGTGTCCCGATCTTTCATCAAATTTTAATAAAGAAATCGGCGTCGCGCGATTCTAGTTCTTTATTTTTAGGATGCTTAGGGCCCGTAGAATCAGTCATGACCAAGGACAGAGGATCGCAGAATCCTCTTTATTGCCCCTTTAACAATGGTAATTTAGGAGTGGGAGAGAGATGGAATGCAAATTACTGTGACATACCTAGCTCATGGTGTAATACGCCAAAACAACAAGGACTAAAATGAAGAGAGAACAGGACAGGACGCGGCGTAACTTTCAACTGAATGGTTTATTTCGATGTCACAATTTTACAAACATAAAAACAGGCACAATTGGCAGAGCGCAAAGATATGGTCTAGAAACACACTCCCCTCAAATGCCAGCATCATTGGTTCTTCAAATAGTAGAATTCTTTATCAGACAAGGACAAAGGGGGTGCGCTTACACAAGAATTGTCGTGGTGGGACTTAATCAGGAAGGCTTCTTGAATTTCTCTGGCCGTTTTTGTTTTGTAATTGCCCATGACACAGGTGTCACCAATCCACGAAGCCTTCCTGATTAAGCCCTACCACGATAACTCTTGTGTCAGCGCACCCTCTTTGTCCTTGTCAGTTAAAGAATTCTACTATTTGAAGAACCAATGACGCTGGCATTTGAGGGGGGTGTGTTTCTAGACCCTACCTTTGCGCTCTGCCAAGTGTGCCTGCTTTTGTTTTTAAAATTGTGTCATCGAAATAAACCATTCAGTTGAAAGTTACGCCGCGTCCTGTCCTGTTCTCCCTTCGTTTTCGTCCTTGTTGTTTTGGTGTATTACACCATCATGCAAAACCAACTAGCCCAACTAGCCATCCATACGTAGCTGTATTCTGAAAATTTGAAAGGGTGAGTGGGGAGAGATAAGTGTTAACTTGGAAGACAAAGATGTTGAGAAAATGCCTTGCCAAAAGAATATTCACTCAAAAGCCATCTGTCATCCCAGTACAAAACGTTTCCCTGCACTGCAGTCACAGGCTGCCCCCCTAGTCCTTTTCAGCGGCAGTCTCAAATGAAGCGATTTACAGCGCACGTCCCTGGTTTTGAAAGTGCACGTCAGTGTTGCCCGACTGCGCTGGGCTGTGGCAGCCTGCATAGGCGCGATACTGGACGATGGTGGCAGCTAAATTGCCGCGTTTTATTGTTTCTTTTGTGTTCTAGGGGAACATAAATTCTCGAGGTTTTTAAGAAAGCATTGAACTATTTTTGGAAACAAAAAGAAAGAAACGAGAGCTACTTTTGGCAAGTCTGTGCACAACAGAACAAATGCAACTGGAATGTTTGTTTCATTTTATGGATATCTTTTTTTTTTTACGGCACTGTACACTTAGCCGTGTCAATCTACAACAGTAGAAAATATTGAACCACACAGGATAGCAAAATGCATGGGTATTCCCCGCTTGCAACATGAAATTCAACGAGTCTCGTTGATGGAACAACATATATTGCACGTACCCAACGGTGCTGCGTTATCCAAACAGGATTTGAGAAAGGTCTCAAATAACACAGAACATCCAATACACAGTGATGACGAGAGTCACTTCACGAGGATCGGACGGAATTTGGCTTGTTTTGGGGCACGTTTTGAAGAGAGCTGCTTTTTTGCACAGCACCAAGGCAAATGAACAAGCGTGCAAACGTGTCGATTACATCCCCATACCCAAAATTTGACCCTATCAGCTATTTCTCGCGAAGACCGGGAATGGAACATAGCCAAGAAGGCTTTTTGGAGATCATCTCAACGAAAATAATCCTTGAAAAACGTCGAATGGAGCTTCTTGACGTTTGCTTTCTTCACTCGTTTTCCGGTGAAGGTCGAGCAGGCTATGAGCCCTGGTATTCACTGGTTCTCACAGCGGAAGATAACAAAGAAAGGATAAGCATCCTGAACGGGTAAATAAAGTAAAATCTTTGAAGAAAAGTCAACGAACTCCGAATGCACAAAGCAGGTGGAAAGTTGCACTGACCGGGTTTCCACAGCTCGGGCAGGTAGCAGAAATATCTGGCTAATAGGGGTCGCTCGAGTCACAAAATGGCGGAGGCCAGAGAGCTCTTTTCGCAAAGGCATACTATAGTAAAACTGGTTACGTAAACTACAAAATGAAGAATTGCTTCCGCCAAAGATCAGCAAACAAAGATGACGGATTTTCAGCTTTGCAGGAAGATTAAAAAAAAAGGCAAGATAAACTTGTGTATATTTTTATGAAGGCATTAAAAGAACTCAACAGTGCTGTAAATATTTATAGGGTCTCGGAGAACTGCAAGAAGAAGGTATGACAATGACCGTGGATTTTTTTGGCAATGCATGCCATGTTGTAAAGTGATGTGTGAAAAAGAAATCTGTCAATCTCTGTTGTTCCTTGGAGCAACCACAAAGTTGAAACCTTACATTTATGAATGCCCTCATTTAAAATATGAAATAAATACTGAAAAACATGCACCTAATTTCGAAAAAAAAAAGAGAAATACTGAACATGAATGACCAAAGAGAGGTAACCTGGGCCTTATACATGACAAAATACAGTCAACAGTCACTCAGCTGTCTGTTTCATCTTCCCCGATTGCTTTAATTAGACCAATGCTGCATGCCACAAACCTGATATCCACTGCAGTTTAGACTTGTAGTCAAGAGCAGAAAGCTCCACAACTTTGTCCTCGGTCGTGACAAGAAACCGATGTGCCTTGCGAGACTCGCCGATGGGCTGAAAAAAGAAATTGGGGCAAGTTGACTTACGAAATGCAGCTATCATGAGATAAAAGAAAGAAACCTGGCTGTAGTGGCCAGTTACAAGTTGATCACAATGAATAAAAAGAGGTAAGGACAAGCTAAGTGCTATGTTCCCACCTATTTTTTGCTTCCTCGCTGATATTTCATGGTGCCCTACAAAGTAATATCTTCAAATCACTTTTGTACAATAAGCAATGATATGCAAAACCTTCCCAAAAGCCACAGATTATCTGCTGCTTCCCTATCAAAATAGCACCAAAGACGACTGCTTGGAGAATACAATCTCAGTAAACAAAGTTTTATCTGTATCATTTACTACCCAGATTAACAGACTCACAGAGCACCAAAAGTTGTGGTGCTGAATGAATAAACACACACTCTGTCACAGTGCACTTATGCATCAGTCACTAGCAGCCTCACTGATTTTGAGGTTTTTAGAACTGTCAATAAAAATAATGTTCTTGTTGGTTGTGCCTAACCTGTAATTTCTACCTTGTTATTGTCACTTTTTTTTCCTGCTCTGCAATTCCTTCGGGCACTGAGGGAACGATACATTAAATGAAATTAAATGAAATCCCCAGTCTTTACGCAAGTAAAATGAATGTATTCAATCAGTTCGTCCCCGAACAGAGCCTATAAAGGGGGATTCATATTAACGAGGTTTATATTAACGAGATACGACTGTACGTCTTACTACAAAAATATATTAAGCCTACTGACTAGCACAGGAGAAGTGCAATTAAAATTCAAGAAGCCCGCACTATGCCAGATGAATGCCGAGGCTATAGTCAGTGACAGGTTAAGAGTGCAGGACAACCTTCCCTCGCACAGCCTTCCACTCTCTCCGCCTTAGCAGGGTGAATGCTGGAGAGGAGGCGAGTTCCTCTCTGCCTCCTCTCCAGCGTTTGCTGTGCAAAGGCGGGAGGAGTTTGTCTTGCACTCTTATTCTGCCACCGACTATAGACCATCGGCACTTGGCAGCTTTCTTGAAGACTTCCAACGAACTTGGCACCTCGAGTATCTCCAGAAGCCTCATAAAACCTGCTGCAAACTCACCTCGGCGCGTGTGCGCGATGTGATGACAACTTCTCCATTCTTTCGGCTTCCTTCCTTCGTGCCGAAGTAGGCCATGTGATGCGGGCGCAACACGAAGTACATCTCCCACCAGAGTCCTAGTGATGACAGCTTCTTCTTCAGTATGCCCTGTTGAGAAAATGGAGCCACAGGGCGTGCTCTCAGTCAGCATATTTAGGCACCCAATTATGAGGCTAGGGTCTCGGGCAAGAGCCATCCCTTTGCCTTTCTGTATGTGCGAAGCATGGCTGCCTCTAAATTAGTCATGAAGACTAAAATCTCCTATATTACAGATGCGACAGATTTTCGGCCTAAAATTTTTAAAGGGACACTGAACTCTCCCCAAAATTATTTTCAAAGTGCTTGGATAACATACATAAGCCACAAAATTATAACCTTTTTTTTGTGTTTTGTAATTCATCAGCTAAAAAACGTCCAGTTGAATTTCACAAGAATTCTGGGAGCCAGGCATGGTGGCACGTATACCAAAGATTGAATACCAAGATGCAGCATGTGAAGAGATGCCTCTGTGAAGCTTCCATTCATGCGAGCTTCACAGAGGCATCTGATGTTTGGATGAAGGTTTATTTTTCAGCATTCGAGAGTAACGAGAAGCGCCACGAGGTGCCAACTTGCCTTCTTGATGACGTCACCAATGTAGAGGTCGTAGACCTCGGCGGTCGCCTCCACCAGGCCACAAGGTTCGGAGCCCGAGGTGTAGCGCGTCTCCAGGAAAGTCAAGAAGGACTGGAAGTGGAAGACTGGCAGCAAGGCAGCCAGCTGGTGGAAGTCTTCAGAGTCCCACTCCTTTCCTAAGGCCTTCACAAATGTGCTAGTCACCTGCACACACCAAACAATACCCTATTTAGCTCTGAAAGACTGAAATCATGCAAGCTTGGAAGTAACTCTTCAAAGCAGAAAGCAGGTTGTCTGCTTCTTGATCAGGGGTTGCAATGACGCCAGAACGACGCAGAGTTCTGATTGGCTTTGACTGGAAGGACAGAGAGCAGACCTCAATGCTAGATGCCCCGAGGTCTACCCACTACTTTTTTCAATCAGCTAATAAGAGCTTGGTGTTCTTGACAACCCCTGTACAAGAGGCAGGCGAACTTGCGCTCCGCATACACTCAATAGGTCACGTGGATGATGCAAACTACAACAGGGGCTAGCGAATCAAACCCACTTCAAACAAATCTCGAAAAAAAAGTGTTGTGTGCTCGGACGCTGTAATTTAGCGAAAAAATGTAACCGGGTGTTTTTTTTTTTTGTTTTTTTTAAATATCAAGGAGTTCATTTGCTTTAATAAAAGTCACAAATAAGAAACAAAAGCTTTATATGGTTTAGTGTGCAATCAGGCTGTTTTAAACCAAAAAGTGTCTCTCTGGGCCACTGGAGTGTTTTATTGGGCAGAACGGGAACACGGAGCAGAGTTTGAATTATTTTCATGACCCTCTTTGAAGTTCTTGTCAGATCAAATCTCCAATATTTGCAGATTGGCTTGCAGCTCAAATTCAATCTAACCCCACAGCGAAAGGGGCAGCAATGGAAACATACCGTCACATTTTTTGTGGATCTATACTCAAAGAGTATGCTTTAACGAAGTGCTTGTGTGTTCGACAATCCGTAACTCCAACCTCACAACATTCACCAGTGTCAGTAATTGATATAGTCTACATGACAAGTATTTTCAGCTCGTCCTTTTTCCCTGATTGCTCTTTGCTTGCTAGAGGGTCGGGTAAGTCTACTGGGGATTAGAAGGTTCTGGCTCTTTTCACCAGTGCATCGTGGGGATCTGCATTTTCTACTTTCACCTCAGTGTAAAAGCAGCTAGTGCCCTTAAAGGTTTCGTACAGCGCGGTGATCATGTAAGTCGACATTCATTAGAAACCACGGTCGGCTACTATACACAGTGTCTACAAGCGATACTCCTGCCAGGGGCCTCACCGTAACCCCACTGTCCTGTCGCACGCTTCCAACAGATCACGACAAGTACTTTGCTTAGGTTGGGCTAGGTGCTATGAAGCTTTCTGATCTTGGGGAAGCCCTCCCGCCTCTCAAGATTCTTGCAAGAAGGCAGTTCACAAGCTGAAAAGGGGCACTACCCAGAAGAAAAAAAAACATTTCTGCAAAACAAACTGATTTTTAAAAACGCCATACTTACATCCACCATCTAAAGAGTATACCCAGAAAGTTTAGTTTGTTTACACTGCATAGTTATTTTTTTCACAAATTATTTTCGGTCTATCAATGCTGAAGCAAAAGGTAGAGGCTCGATCACTCTGAACGTGTTTTTTTTCGTTCCACATTTTGGCATAAATGTTAGTTTTGGAAAATGGTAATGGGACAAAAGAAAAGGCTTATTAATTGCTTTTCCTAAATGAAATTTAATGGGTAATGCAACTGAGGCATTGTTTTTTACTTTGCGGATGTCCTTTATAAAAAAACATTGAGATTTTGTCGACGACATAAAAGGCAAAACATCTATTTTATTTTTCAGCACAATGTTAGCATACGATAAATCACTTTTGGGAAATTTTGTTTTCACAGTTGCACTCTCTAAGCATTCTGCTGCATACCTAGTGAAAAAAAAAAAAAATTGTTGGGTATTACTTTAGTTTTCTTACAATGGTTTTCCTAAAAAAAATGTCTGTTCCTGATAAAAATTACTACTACAATTTCACAATTTTTTACACATGTGAAACTTTGCGCTGCATTCTGTGTTGCAACTGCTAGTATATATGGTAAGCTTAATTCATGTTAAGCCAAAGGTTCAATAATGAATCCTTTTGGGCTATGTCCTCGCTTGAACATTGCTAGCAATAACACACACACAAAAAAATACATGTATCAATGCATGACTCAGCTATGCTGTGGCTATGCTGAAGAAGTTGACTGTACTGGAGAATTCTATCACTTAGGGACAGGAACAATAAAAAAAAGTTTGGTGTTCAAGGAACTTTTAGGGACCAGCCTAAAACAAAACTAATTTTGTAAAAAAAAAAAATTTGAGACATGATGGGTTACATTATCAGAAGGAAAGGGACAGAGAGGAAAACAACAGGCTTGTATGTGAGAGAATGTCATACTATTTTGCTTTAAGATCATGCTTGGGAAAGGAGAAGAGGAAGTGGTACTTGAACCAGTCGCTGTTATTGTTGCTTGAACGAACGGAAAACGACTTGGGCACAGATGTACGACAATAGGGCAATAATGAAATCACATTGCTGCATACGCCAACTTTCAGTAGCTCAGTTCGCTGCATACCAGCATCACATTCCCTTCGTCTGGATAGCGGTGACTGCAACATTATCGCACTGACTATAGAATAACTGCGAGAGAGACACTGCGGTCTCCACCAAGAAGCTGCTGGAGGTCAGTCGCCCTTCAGACATGGTAAAGGGATGTTGGGAACCTTTTAGCTTTAATTGTTATCGCAAGTTTGCCTGATTAAGCATATCAATTACTGGCAGCCTTTCAATTATATTGTAGGAGTGCCTACAGATGCAACTATGCCGACGATACGGGCAAAATGCAACATTAGAACGGAGGACGTTTAGCTGACCTCTTCCACTTCTTCTGCCACCATGACGACCTCGGTAATGTCTTTTGGCGACGTTCGAAGCTCCCCGAGGAAGCAGAACACCCTGAACAGCTGCATGACACATTTCTCGGGGAAGGCCACAAATTCTCGGTTGAGGAACTTTTTCTTGCAGACCAGCCAACACACTTCTTCAATGTGGTCTTGGTATCTGCAAAATAGGCATTGAGAGTGTCAGTCGAGCAACGGTCATATTATAGGGTTTGGTGTTTTCGGTTGAAATTTATGAACACCGATTAACATATGCTGAATTTATTTTCCAGAATTAGGCTATAACCCCAAACAGGTCAGTACTTTAGAGCAGCATGGTAGAGCTAGACGATGTATTTTAAGGGTGGGGGTTATAGTTGTGTAACACTGAAAGTAGTGGGGCACTTCCTTATCTAAGTTCTTATATGCTCATAGAAAAAATCGTAAGGGTGCAGGCGAGCTGGTGAATATTAACCATGTTGAATTAACCTGAGACTGGGGTAGAGAAGAAACATCAAAACGTAGAAGGGACAGAAAATAGACAGGACGACGTCTCAACTCTTAAGACGTCGTCATGTCTATTTTCTGTCCCTTCTACGTTTGGATGTTTCTTCTCTACCCCAGTCTCAGGTTAATTCAACATGGTTTTTATATGCTATATCATGTTGGGGAGAGCTCAACCATAAAGAGCCTTTTGAGGGTTAAAGTTTTGTTTTCAGTGTGATGAGTTTTTGGCTGCCAAGTTTGCTGTCTTTTGGCGACAGTGTTTGGATTGTTTTTGCTGTCTGAAATGTCCCACAACTTCTCTATATATGAGGCCATCTCTAAAGTTTCAACTGGACCTAATGACGAGATAACTATTGCAATCAGAGTTTTGTGAATACATGAAGTACCCAGGGCTTCGAAACGTGCTAAGGGTTGTCTTTCTGCATCCACATTCAACTGATTAATCAGCTTTAGATACTGTAGTGCTTGAGCTTGGCAGCTTGCCAGCTTTTGAATGTACAGTCAGCACGAAATGAAACCCGAGTGCTGGAACAAGTGGCCCTCGACACAGGCTACTCCACCTGGAGGGCCCCTGAGAACTAATGAAAATGCGCCGGGGTGCGAGGGTGAGAGTCCTACTAAGATGAACTGAAGCCTTGCGTGGCGCGTCTGTGACTTCCGCGTTTCGCCGGTGGTGCACTGTAAGCGCCGTCACGTCCGATACACAAAGCACCGTCACTCGATTTGTGCATCGGATGCCCAGCGATATCTCTTCAGCACTCTCATTATTTATCGCTTTGTGTATCGCAAGGGCGAAATGAAAGTTGAAACAGTTCGAGCACAGAAGACACGTAGTGCTAGATGACGTGTCACCGGAACCACGCTGGGGCTCCGGTGAACAATGTGCCACACGCGGTTTTTGAGAAATAATGAAACGTCATAGAGGCGAAATAAAATTTGTTTATTGGCAGAACCAAACTCTTTATGAAAAAAAAAAATGCTGCAACAGACCGACGTGGATGCCTCGGTTTTTATAAGCAATGCTCATGTTTTAGTGCAATGTTATCAGTCGATTCTTATAAAAAGCGAGAAATTGCTCACTGACACTCTTTTTGGTAACCACCGATATGCCAGGCGTATCAAGTCCGGAGCGGAATAAATTCATCACCCTGTCTGAGCAGGGCCTATCACAAAGAGCTATAGTCAGGTTAAGCGGCCGCTCGGTGTCGACCAAGCGACGGTGTGACTCACAAAAGCACCCCAAGTGACAGCGCTTACAGCGCACCACCGGTGAAACGCGGAAGTCCCAAACGCACCGTGCGAGGGTCGAGCTCATCTTAGTAGGACCCGCACCCTCGCACCCCGGCACATTTTCATTAGTTCTCAGGGGCCCTCCCGGTGGAGCAGCCTGTGTCGATGGCCACGCGTTCCGGCGTTCAGGTTTCAATCCGTGTTGACTGTACATGTACTGGCATGGAAAGGGAGCATTGAGTGCCTGTGGTAAGTGGTGAGAAGGCATTTCCAAAATTCACAGCCATAAACAGAAAACAATAAGCTTGCCTTAATATAAAACAACCTTGGAAACTACATGTGTTTTATTTCAAACATGAGAAGCAATTGCGATCTGGATGGCCAATGAAATTCAACATTCCTATTATGTGAAGGGTTACCTTAATGCTGAGTAGAGCCTGTCAATATTTGCCTGCCTGTGCTTGTCCGTACATGTTTCATCATTATTTTTATGTTGTATACACACCTTTCCCTAACACACTCCCAGGCCACCACCATGTTCGTGATGATGACGCAGCTGGTGTGACTCTCATGCCGTGTCTGAGCTAGAAATTTTCTGCCTCTCTCTTGGACTGTTAAAACCTGCTCAGAGCAGTTCTCCGCACATATTTTGCGGTTTTACATTTTATGCATTCCGGCCTCTCTTGGAAGTTTCCACTTTATTTTCCTTACGCATGCCGCACACCCTTTTTGTAATCTGCCACTGTGAGAAAAAAAAACCCGTTAAGTACATGCCATTCAAGCGTTTCTGCTCAACACACGATTTTGCCGACAATGGCAACAGTTCTCGCCACTCCCAGAGATAATCTGCGTAGAATCCCTCTCAGTCATCACCAAAAAATAGCTGTTCGGGTTGGGGTGGGGAATAAACCAGCCATGTTTGTTCCTTTGTTTTGGTGCTGGTGTTGTCGAAAAAAGTTCTCCCCAAAATGTGCCCCAAAACGAGGTCCTCTTGCAGTGGCATAGACAAGGGAGTGATTTGGGAGTCAAACCCCCTCTTCAAATCATACACCTTTTCGTTGCTTTTTTTAGTAAAGGGAGACAAATATTGAATGACTACAAAATTGTTCCAGCCAGTCGGGGGGGTTGGGGACGCCTGTGTCCGTACCCGTGAATTGTACACTGCAACGACTACTACACGCAAAAGTCTAAGGTTTAAACGAAAACGTGAGACATTTACTATTCTCTGTAATGCCGAATTAGAGTGCAGCTCTTGAGGAGGAGGAGGGAAGGGTACACAGGGGAGGGCATGCTCCCTCTCCTCCTCCGATCCCATTTAGCGGAAAATTTTCACTAAATTTTTTGCTAAATTTAGCGGATTAAGTTTCCCCGCTAAATATATCGGGCAAATTTTTCTGCTAAATTTAGCGGGGAACTTTTTCTGCTAAACTGAGCGATAAATTTCCCCGGCAAATTTAGCTGAAAAAGTTAACCCACTAAATTTAGCAAGAATTTTAGAATTTGTTAAATCAGATATTAAGGATTTCAGTGACGCCGAGAGCCGGTAGGACCAGGACAGAGAAGCTGTTTGGGAAACAAGTGAACACGCATGAACAAGTAAACAAATGAACCCAACAAACACTAACCTGTTTGCAGGAAAAAAAGAAGAAAGAAAGAAAGAAAGCATGGGGCCCTACTTTTTTAGGGTCTTGAGGTCCAATGTGCTTGGCAAGCCCGAGAAGAGTTCCTTGAGCAAGTAGAGCATGTACTGGTCGAAGAGAAGGGACTGTGTGCTGCAGTACTCCTCCAGGGCCGCCTCCGCCCTAGTGTAGCCAAGCACTGTTCCCAGGCTAGACGTGAATACCTACAAGATAAAAGGAGCACAGTCAAGTGTTGGCATCACTAAAACATTATTTGTGTTTACAAAAAAATAAGAAGCTTTTTGTATATTAAACTTTTTCACATAAGCAAAAACAAACTATGCCATTTTCTTGCATGGAACGTCCCACATGGAAATTTCAATTCTCATAATTAAACGTCGATCTGGAATATCCTGAAAACCAACAGTGTAAGACGTAAATCTGCAGGAGCCTTTGCTGAATGATGCCACCCAGAGAGGAATACAAACTGAATATTCCATATCAACTCGCAACGAACCGCGGAAGATGTTACAAAACAACTGAAGCAAATCCAATGCCGCAAAAGTGTCCCATTACATCCGGGAAGAGCGATATGTGCGGCGTGTAGTCACACAACACATTTGCAGCGCTGAATTGGCTGGTATGGCTTGTACCATCCATTGTGGTCCATTCTAAGGTTACGTGGAGTGTAGTACTATACTCTGTTTCATACTTAGTGTGCAACGCTGTTAAAGCTACCGGCGTGAGCGTGGGGCTTGATATCGTTGATCATTTGCACGTGTTCTCGAGCAAACAAAACCATAGATGAAGCCACGCGCTCGCGCCAGTAGCTTTGATAGCGTTGCACACTAAGTATGAAACAGGGTATAGTATTTTATTTGAAGAACTTCAACCTTTGCCTGTGTTTTCTGGTGGCTTTTCAGGTTGATGTATTAAAAAATAAAATAAAATTAAAAGATAAAAAGTTGTCAGCAACCTTCATTGCTATGGTCCTGTAATGCACAAAATGCAGTATATAAGCGATTGTACACATTTCATAAAAAGACATTTAAACAATAATTCCTGATAGCCTCGTCCCACTAGAGCGAAAAACACCAATTTTTATCCACGACACCACAAAGTTCTGTGTCGCTGATACTGTCCCACTGTGACAGTTAACATCCCCGACAAACGCCGACAAGCGCCGACAAATGATCGGCAATGGACAAGTTCTTGTCTGTCGTTGGACTTGAAACGCAGCAAGCAGTCTTACCAAGGAAAATCTTTTGGAGACAACCTTATCCTCCTCGCCCGCTTGTACTTTCTGTTGCCTCTCAATCCACCCTTCTACCCTTCCTTCTGTACCTCCCCTGGCTCGCTCCGACGCTCGACCTTCAGAGAAGTCCTTGGCGGCCACTGATTGTTCCCGCAGTTCCAGTCCCTCGATTGCTCGTAGTGGGTGCGGGCATGGCTTGCTTACTGGCGGTAGTGTTGCGAAAGGGAATTTGCTGTGGCTAGTTTTGCTCGCGAAAACTTGGTGCGCGGGGTGGTGCTTCAAGACGCCGAGGTCTATGCCCCTACCTCAGGATGGACACACCCATGTTCGAGGACTGACCCAAGTAAGACTGCTCACCACAAAGTAGGACTCGACATTCCGGCAAGCCATTCCGGCAGACGAGAGACCTGCAATCACGTTCTGTGATAATAGGGATTCTGTATTGTCCCCCAAAAAAGCCTGCCCCTATCATTCGGATATGAAGTTATAAACATTCTCAAAATCGGCTTGAAATTCTGTGGCGCTAACCTAGAATGCCTCGAACGACCCAAAAAAGGAACGATTCAGGAATTGTAGTTCGGAAAATGTTTTGTGTCGATTGTCACAACTGTTTGGGGAAAGTCACCAACGGCAAATGAAAGCAAGCGGAAGCTTTAATCAAGAAATAAAGTAATAGTCTCCACTTTCACCATGTTTGTCACCGCATTTTATGCCCAAAAAGCAAAACACGAAAACCGCGTCGTCAGACTCTGTTTGTCTGTGTATTTTTATGTGCTTTGTAGGCAACTCCAGTCCCACTAGGAAACAAGTTTCTGTCCCAGTGTTCTGGTGTCGTGTCCGCCAGGTGGGACGGCGGACTCCGAGAAACAGGCTGCCTGTCGGTGTCGTCTGTAGCTTATTATTGTGTGTCGCTGTCGTTTGTTCCCGTTTGTCACCAGTGTTGCGGAGTTGCCACTTTGGAGTTGGAATGATTCCGGAATCATTCCGCATTTTCACGACCTCAGAATGGAATGGGAATGGAATGGCGGCAACGTTGAGGGGAATGGAATGGGAATGGAATTAGGTGCATATTGCCCGGAATGGAATGGGAATGGAATGGGCACGGTTCTCCTTTTTTTCTTTTTAGTGCTTACGGTCAGCTAAATCGAGCCAGTCAGTGAGTCAGTTGCTCAGAAATAAAATGAGCGGGAAATGGCTAGCCCGCGAAAAGTCCTAACAGACCTATACGCAAAAAAAAAAAAAAAAAAAATGCAATACAAAAAACAAGCTTCAAAGCAAAGAGCAAAGGGGGAAAGGGGGGGAAAGTGGCGCCCTTCACGGACACGCAGGCGTCGGGCTTTGATGGCGTTACACGAGAGCGAAACAAGAAACCAAGCGCCAAGCAAAAGAAAAGGGAGCGGCAAAGAAAGAAACCGCGCCATGCACAACTCCTCATCGTCCTTCTTGTCATGCTTTTTCTGTTGTTGTTGCGACGGTTTGTAGAATGCACGCACGCGCACAGACTGAGATCTGGGAGCGGAAGCGACTCACAACTCACAGAGCTCTGATAACTCGTTGACTCGGGCGCCGTCGAAAGATGATCAGGTATTGTTTTCTTATAGTTCGAGGCGCGTTGTTTAGCAAGCAGCCAACCCTGCTGCCTTCCACGTTCATTCGTGCGCACTCCTTTGAAGTGCGAAATGTGGGTTTGCTTCGGGCAATAAAACAAAGCGAGATTCACTTCCCTCTTCTCCTCTTGCGCCTTGCTCCGAGGTTTGTTTTTTTATACTGCATTTGTAGTGTAAGTCCGCCTATTACTTGGTCTTTGTTCCGATGCTTGTTTTCTGTGTTATATATTTAGTGGGTAGGAGTTACAAGCAATCTAGCGGATTCCCGCTCATTTCCTTTGACTTTAGTCTCTGAATACTTCGTTTCACCGTGCGATGGACTGCTGCGGACACTATGAGTCACCCTAGGCAATCCAGCACCGTGAGCGGGATTGCAGGGTCACGCGACACTCGGAAAGCACTGGATTGGTTTCGATGGCTCTCGTGCTGTCTGTTGAGGTCCATCGTAAGGTGAAGTAGACTATTGTCACCGCTCTTGGTGTGACCGAACTGACTAGACCTGCAGAAAGATCGTCCTGCGCCAGACGAGGCGCGACCGTTGCTGTGAGGGCAACTGAGAAGGAGAGCTGGGTGCTAGCTGCCACTAAGGTTTTGGCTTCCGCGCGTCTCGGCTGTACGGTCTGCATTCGTGCTCCTTGTCCTGGACCCTATTTGAGGCGGTGAGAAGTCAGTTGGACGGTGTTGTTGAGGAAACACGGGGAATGTCAATTCGAACGGTGCGGTATTACTCCGTTAATTGTATCTTGATATGAAGAGCTTTGTCAACGCTGACTTCCCGACCCGTCGCCACAACGGGAACAACCCACACCGAGGTAGAAGAATGAATTGGTTGGTACCGTCTGCTGCCTGAACCCGTCACTCGATCAGCGCGAAGAGGAACATCACAATTCGGACGAGAAGACAAGATAAATACAGATCGAGTCATGGCATCGTAGAAGACATTTTTGTACATTAGTCGCAAAGAAAATAAACAAGCTGCACGCTGAAAGTTGTGCAACAAAATTATACACGGTGCAGTCGGCGTATATCATCGAACTTTATTCGCCATCTGAAGAGGAAACACGAGAATGAGTATGCGAAGGGTGGAAAAGGGCAGGCGAACCAGCCGAAAAATGAGTTGAATATGATAAGAAATATTGAGATTCGTAAAGCAAGCGTGAACTTGTGTGTTTTAAAACAGGTTTCGTGACATGGTCTATACGGTCTCTCGTGCTGCGCCGCAGAGGTTGCATTTTGTCAGAGGATGTGTTCTTGCCGCTGTGCATGGAGTCGCTTCCAGCAGTGTACTAGCCGTGTTGCTGTATTTGAAGAATGCAGTAATATAGCTTATTCCTGCGTCACGCACGAAATGGATATTTTTATGGTCTTGTCAAACAAACACGCTGGCCGCATATGTCTTGAAAGTCAAATGCAGAAAAGTTAAAAAAAGAAAAGAAAATGAGTGGATTTAAGTTTTGCTGTTTGTTGTGAGCCACATGGTCGCGAGACCGATGTCTTAAACAAGCATCGACATATCAAGGGGCTTTCTCGATGTTTGCAGTCCAATGTAAATAAACACTTTCTGCCACCAGCAGTCCGCTTAGTAAAAATCCGCGCTTTTTTGAGGAATTTAGCTTTTTTTTTTTTTGCAATTGTCTCTGCATTTGATAATGTCAGCTTTATGCTGCTTATGCCGGCAACAAAATGTAGCTGTCAAGTGCCAATTTTTTACGTTTAGGAATTAAAGGAATGGAATGGAACGATTCAGCCATTCCAGGAGTGGGAATGGGCTCAGTGTCTCCATTCCTAGGAATTGAAAGGAATTGAATTATCGAAAACTCTAATTCCCTGGAATGGAATTGGAATGGAATGGGGGTGCCCATTCTGCAACACTGTTTGTCACTCAAGTGGGATGCGGCTATGAGAGTAAAGAACATATTGTTTAAATCGCCTGGATTAGACATTTTGTCAAGTGCAGTGAAGGTGCAATAGCACTTCATGGGGTTGATGGGATGGGTTGGTCGCACCGTAAAGGCCCGTTCACACTCTTGCGACCTCTTAAACCTGGGTTCCTTAAAACTTCTTAAACCAGAAAACATACTGGCGCCATCTATTGGGAAGCAGTGTAAACTCGGCGGTCCGGCATATTTTTTTTTATTTCTCGCGCATTATCTTTTCTTTCTTGGCTCGAAAAACTTTTGTCAATGTTATAAACAAGCCTTTCTATGGGTATTACGCACATTTGACCTATGAAATCCCGCAAAACCTTCGCTCTTGTGAAATGCAGTTCCAGGGTCACCGCATAGATGGCGCCACGATGCCCAGTGTGTTCCCTCATTCTAAAAACATTTAACAAGTTTTAAGGGATCTCGTCTCTCTCAGTCGTACTCGGTCGCAAGAGTGTGAACGGGCCTTAAAACTGCACCGACGGAGGAAGGGAGAGGAATGGAAGGGGAAGTAGGTGGGGAGGGGAGAGAGTGATTGGGAGGGGAAACCAGGCGATGAAAAGGAGGAAGGGGATGTGGGTAAGGAAAGAGAGGGAAGGGATATAGGGAGAGAAGAGAGGGGAGGGGAGAAGTGGAAGTGGTGTTACGTGACGGGAGCTGTATAGGTAAGAAGGGTCCTTTGTCTTCAGGTTTAATATTTTGTGAAAATCCGGAGCTTTGTTCAAAGCTAGTGATTGTGGAGAAATCGGGCTTTTTAAGGAATTTTTCTGGAATTCAAGGTTTTCACGTAATTTTAACAAATCGAAAAGTATAATTGGGAAAAAAGAACAGTTTTTATTTGGTTATTTCGTAACAGTCCACAACCGAGTTTTATTGACATAGCTTAGGTAGCAATAAGCTTATCAGCTTATAGTAGATGCCTATGTTAAATTGATGAGTTCGCTATTGTTGAAACACCTTAATGTTGAAGGACAGCTCTGCTCAATTTAAGCTTCTGGGGCTCTAGATTGATCAAACACAAAGTTGGAGCAGAACATTCGCAGAGCGCGCCGGTAGAACTTTGGTGACAAAAGCACGACGTCATGGTCGCGAGTCCAATTGGTGCGCTTCGTAGACTTCGAACCAATTTTTGCATTTGACGAGTATGCAGAGCGCAAGCTTGTCTGCTTCTTACATAGGGGTTGCGATATGTCACAAAGCCAAGGTCTTATTGACTGATGGCACAAAATAGTGGGTAGATCTCAAGGCATCTAGAATTGAGGTCTACCCACTAACCTCCCAATCAAGGCCAATCAGAACTCGGCGTCGTTCTGACGTCAACGCAACCAATGCGGTACAAGCAGACGACTTGCTCTCCGCATAGGACCCAAGCAGTTATGCATGCCTAATTAATTGGAAAGGCAAAACAGGTAAGGAGAGGAACATACAATATACTTTTTTTTTTTTTTTAACGACTTGTCATTTAAGTTGAAATTATGTTGTCGGTTTTTATATTTCTATTAGTAATTATTGTAGTAAATGTTCATTTGAACTAAAGTATGATTCAGTACAGTTCTGCAAAATTTGCTTTTCAAACCAACTTTTTGTACTTGTCAGTCATGCCTCAACAAACCGAATCCTGACATGCCCCGAATGGCAGCACCGATTCCACAACATTTCTCAATGGGGTGAACAAGAAGAAAATCAAGATTTTGAAGTAGAGCCGTAGATTGGTGCAAGTCCACCCTTAGCTCTCATTAGCATGGCATCCGTTAACAATAGAAATTACCTAGGTCCCTGCATTCAAGGAAAGTCTAGAGGTACACACCTACCGTTGACACGACACTGTCGTCCCTCATCATCCACGAAATAACATACATCAATGTCGTTCTGGGAAAGCACAGTTGGGTGCCACATATGTTTACCCATACAACAAAAAAACTATCAGGAAAAAAAAAAAAAGGACAACGACTACTGCTCTTTTACATCACCACGGCCCAAGCATCCCTCCATCCCATCTTGAATTGATGCCCGTCAAGTTTTGTTTCGGCACCCTTACGTCTCTCCACAGGCACTGTCACCACACATTCTGCGATACACCCATTCAATCACTACAATGCCGAGAGGACACAATCCTGGAGTGCAATATCCATTTCAGCGTGAAGAGAGGAATTTGACAGTTATACAGTCGAGTGCAGTCAATCCAAAAGAAACATCTACACAATTTTAACGACCGCCAGGGATGCATACGAGCAGCTGTGTTGGTTGTCAAGAGGCAACAGTAGTTTCTTTTTTTTTTTCGATGTAAGAAATAAATTTATAAAGGATGACACTCTCAAAGAACCGTTTCCTAAAATGATTTACACACTCTTGCTATGGTTGTGAAACTGCCCTCATACCCTACACGAGTTTGGACTTTGTCACTTTTGAACGCTCAAGTTAAAAAGTCACCAAGTCACGCTACATGTTTCGCCACCGACACGAAATATTTCGTTAAACAGCCTCGGACGATTTTTAAAGTAGCATGGGGGGTTTGCTAGAAGACGGTATATCGTGCCAGGCCAAAGTGACACCGTTTGAACGAACGGGGACACTGTAAGGTAACCTTGTGGGCTGATCTCCCGCCGGTGATTAGTACAGCCCACGTTTACTCTCTTCTCGCCTCTTTTATGCATATCCTGTAGGCTGGAGCCTGAAACGACCGACGTGCGTGGTTACTAAGCCCTCGGGCCCCCGCGCTCGGCTCGAAAGCAGTCCACACTAGCCGAGCCTAAACTTCGGAAAGCGAGTTTTAAAGAGGGCCGCAAGCTGCCCCAGTTGACGACGGCACAAAACGTGACAGTAGAAAGTGTAAAGAACACAAAGATAGAGGGAAAAAAAGAGGGGGCTTTGCAGGCTCCGTTCTGAATCGCCGCCGAGATCTTTTTGGTGACCATGCGGCGCAAAATATGAGACGATATCGCGTTCACGCTGGTTTTGATTTGAGATCCCGATTGCTGTCTGCGGCCCGAAGTGTCAAATGTGGGCGTGCAGACTGTAGCAGCTTACCGTGAGACGGGACTTGGCCACTTTGCCCGAACTTCCTTCGTCCAGTGTGTCGAAGGCGTGCCAAATTGCGTTCGCTACGTCCGTTTCTAGATGGCCCATCCCGTTGTCGTTCACGAGAAGCGTGCTCGCCATCCGCACGGAGGAGTCAGACACACACACACACGCACGGACGCACGCAAAAGACTAATCTAAATCCTAAACAAGTAAACAAGGCAGACGATTTCCACACCACCTGTTGAGTTACAGCTGCTACCAGTGACGTAAGGACATAATTAAACAAATATAGTTAAATACATTGTAGTCTTCTTAAACTGATGTTTAACGTTTTATTATTATTTTTAAGTTGTGATTATAGTGGTATATATTTTATATGCCTCTGCTTGAAATCAATCGTTGTAAGGTGGCGCCGGTGGCGTAGGAAGGAAGATCTACGAGTAGACAATGCTGTAAGAATAAAGCGTCTAAGTTCAGAAGGAGGCTTGCGCCACCTAGCCAGCGTGTATAGCGCTATTCAAGCCTTCGACGCTTTCATCTCAATATAAAACAGGGATTTATTCATAGTTCTCAATCTGGGCCGCTGTCTACTGGTGTTAAAAATTCCTGTGGGGTTTCCGGAGGGAGAGGGGGTGATACACGGGTTTATGGTGCCTGGAACGCGGCTCCGACTGGTGGTGTGTTTACCCAATTGTTTACCGCGTTCAAAGTTTACCGCGTTCAAAAAAGTGGCCTCGATTTCCGCCTTATGACGTCATAGAAGTTCCATGCTCTTTCCCGTCCTGATCCTGGCGGCGCCCCAACAGCTGTGACGTATGCGGCAAACGCCTGCTCTGCTGCAGGTCGCTCTCCAGTGTAGCAGACTGTAGAGCACTATATAGCTCCTACGGAGCAGAGTAGCGCAATCCTTTGAACCCCGTGTTTTGCCGACAACATGGCCGACAGAGCAGCTCGGCGCGAGTCACGTGGTGCTCAGGGTTCCAGGAGGCGGCCCGCCCCATGGAAGAATACATGGAGATCGACACAACACGGCTGATTAAAAAATGAACGGCGAGTTCACACTTTTCAAAACTAGTCTGTCGTGAAGTTAGTAAAACACTAAACCATTTATCAAAGTTTTAATAATATCGGATGCGTGTGCAAATTTTGAGAAGGCAATTTCCAACGCAATGGCGTTTGAAGCAGACGATTTTTGCTCGCAGCGGAGATGGGCTTTTCGGGTTGGCCGGAGCGGGTCAGGTGAATGGTGTGACGTCGCCGTGTCGTCTGCTGCATGATGCCGCTCAGGCAATTTTTTAAAAAAAGTCACGTCCTTGCGGGGCACAAAACTTAGCACAAATTATTCTAAAATGTTCCATTATTATGTCAAAAATAATTGCCATTCCGTACAACCCCACAAAACTGAAGAAACAACGATTTTCTCACGTTCTCCATGCATTTCTGACCACAGTTGGAACCTCCGGGCGTTCGCCGCTAGTCGCCGAGAGGCGGCGTTCTAGATTGCGCTACTCTGCTCCGAAGGCTGCAGACTGCAGACTGCAGTCCACAGAAGCTTCGGCAGCCAGAAGTTGGGACGCCATGACGGCTGCGACACTCGCGTTCGGTTGTGCTAGTCGCAGCTTTTCGTTAGCATTTCTACTGTTTCTACGACAAACCGCCAGGATCGCGACATGTAACAGCATGACTACAGTTGTGCTTGGGGGGTAGCCGGTCCACTGGACCGCGATACCAGTCTGGGCGAGGGGACTCGCAAAAGCGGAAAAAGGCAGAGGGCTGTCGTCGACTTTCCCTGAACAAACTCGTTAGCCGTGAACTGCCAGCGTGTAGCGATCGCTCCGAGTTTGCGCCTTTCATTTAATTTAAAGGGACACTGACAGGGTATTTATGCTCGCCGAGGTTTTTAGTTGTACGTGACATATGAGAGCTCAACTACCCAGAACAGAATTTGCGGCTCGAAATTCGGTTTCTTTCCGCCCGAAAACCGCCGATCAAGAACTGGCCGGTTCGAGTCTCGCTCACTCTCTTTTCCGCGGTCACGGGCCGTTTTCTAAGGTATCGATGCGACCACCAAATTTAATCAAAGTCGTGGGTCACTGAAGGCACGCGCTCAATATTAAAAATAGAAAAAAATATTAAACCCATTTTTTGTGGCTTCTAAAAAGTTGCAAATACGTTGATTGAAAAAAAAAGTTCCACAGACAACCGGAAGCATTCTGTGAGTGCGTCGTTTCGCGTTTCGTGGGACTCGCAGGGACGGCGATGGCAGCGGACGACGGGCGTGGGACCTTTATTTCAGAACTGTCGTTCGCGGTACCGGCGAATTTTGTCTGCCTTTAAAAGAGAAATTTGGGACTGGTCAAAAGAATTGGTATTCATCCCGTACGACACGCCCGACCACCAAGCCGATTTGCACGAAGAGGTTGACGAGCCGTAGCTCCCTTCTCGTGGCTGAAGACATCGCTCACGCAAACGTCAAGCACGACGTGTCTACTTCGAGTTGAATATGCACGCGTACGATTTCTTTACTAGGTGAGAATGTCGCCAATGCGTGGTGCATCCCGACTTCGACCCGGGAGTGCTTTTGCTAGAGGAAAATCGGCAGCAAACTTTCCAACTTAGTTTATCAGCTGAATTATTATTAAGGGAAGAGCACGTTGGTCGTGGGGAAGAGAGCCCCCAATTTCGATATGCCCCAGTAGCTCAGTGGGAAAGACGTCCGCTTCACAGGCGGTAGGACCGGGTTCGATCCACCGTGAAACCTTTTTTATTATTTTTGTTTTCAAATATTTTCCGATGTCTACATTTCTTTTTTTTACAATTATTACTGAAGAAAGCAACACACACAAAAAAAATAAGAAACAAATGTTGTGGACGACACGTCGCTGAATTAAATGGTATGATATTTCCTTTTTGACACCTGCGAACTCAATGTAATCACTTTCTACAAAATGCAAGGAGCATATAAATCAGGTAGCGTCCGCTTTCCGAGGTGCCCGTAAATGGTCTACAGGAATTGCAGCCAGACATTGGTCCCGATCCCGTTGACCTTTCGGAAACTCTGTCGCACAATGCCACTTCTGTTTCGGACGCAGGACATGTGAGCCAGCTCTTCACGCAACATCTTGGGTGTATTCTTTTCGGAGCCGATCAAAATTCACCACGGGCACTCACTACTCATCTCCAACTCCTCAATGTACAAAACAACTCATCTTGGAGTACAGAACAACCCACGTAGCACGAAAACGTTCTGAGAACATTCGGGGAATGTTCAAAATAACATAGACAACATTCTTGGAATGTTGAAGATTTACGTAAGAACATTCTATCAACGTTGCCAGAATGTGGCGTAGGCACTTATCGCTACATTCGGGGAATGTCTTCAAAAGGATATTCTTAGACCGTTCTGAGAACGACATAGAACATTACCAGGTCATTCAATCAACATAGAAACATCCTAACAAGGTTCTAAGAACGTTCTCAGTACATTTAAAGAACTTCTGCAACATTCTCTGAATGTTGCTAATTTACGTAAGAACATTCTATCGACGTTGTCAGAATGTGGCGCAGGCACTTATCGCTACATTCGGGGAATGTTTTCTGGTTGATATTTTTTGAACATTCTGAGCACGACAGGACATTTAATCACCATTCTAACAAGGTTTTAAGAACGTTCCCTAAACATCCATAGAACGTCTGCAACATTCTCTGAGGAACGTTTGCAAAGATTCCACAATTATAGCTTCCTTACGTTACACCCCCCTGAGCCGTACTACATATATTGATATAATAAATCTGAAAGAGCGAACGATATTTTTTTAATCAAAATATATTTTTTCTAGGCCTAGCACAACCTAGCCGCTTTACCAGCGCATTAGCCACAGCCTGTACTATAACGGCAGTTTACTCCTACTTATCAAAACGTGCGGCATACATAACCGATTACTCACTCGGAGCATAAGAACAGATACCTACAGCATCCCACACTCAAGCGGGACATACCTTCTTCAAGGTATTGAATCAGAGATGCTAAAAATCGGGTCTATTCAAAACTGCCCCTCTACATACGCAGTGAGTGCAAAACTCATTATCAAATTTTGAAGACCACTGCTTTTCTCCTACACCTTATCTCACATTCCTCGGTACACTCGTACAAGATAAAACTGATCCCTTATGCTAAGTTTGCAAAACCTCCACTTAATTTGCATATTTTTGGCACAAGGTGGCATATAGTGGATGGTGTTTCGAAACACAGGTTGCTTGAAAGCTCCGTAAAGTTGGCTTCACCTGCGAAAATCCTAGGAATGTTCGGAAGCGAACGTTCTAAGAATGTTGCACATATGAATGTTCAAAGGGGAACGTTCCGAGAACATTGTGCATACGAATGTTCGCCAACAAACGTTTTTAGAATGTTGAGCAGCTTACCTTGTAAGGAATGTTCGCATACGAACGTTCCTAGAACGTTCCGAATGGTGTTTAACGTTCCTTCAACATTCAGAACACCCAGGGAATGTTCGCACGACATTGGATGCTACGTGGGAACGAGCGGATCATACATAACTGCAAAAGAATCCCACGGCGAACAGTTCCCGTACGCCGCATGTCGTCTGCTACCGGGAAGGAGGAAAAAAAAACGAAAAAACACACGGTCGGGTGTAGCCACGTGACTTCCGCCACTCACTCTCTTCTCTCCACTTCTCCGACCTCCGTCGGGTTTCGGTTTCGGTTTCGAGCAGTAGCGTCTTTTGGCTTTATTAATAAATTACGCTACTCTGTTATAAAATATTAATTGGGTAGTCCTCCGACACCATAATAAAGCGCCCGGCAAAAAATGAAAAAAAAATTTTGGGGGGTGTCAGTGTCCCTTTAAAGGGACCATGAAGGCAATTTAATTTTTTTTTTAAAGAAGGTGTTTTCGGAAGAATTGGGGTCCTGGCATGCCACACAATTTTTTCTAGAACATTGTGACTCCTATTTCTGTACCTGCAAATAAATTTGTGAAACCGAAACAAACATTCAGATTTCTTCCCTTTTTCGCCTCTGGAAAGAGAAGTGACGTCAGGGAGCACTGTCGGCATCGGTAGGATTTAGTGCACACTCAGTGTGGTTCCCGTGGTTCACTCTAGTGCACGGCGGTCTGTGAAGAAAACCTGGAAGAAATGGACGACAACGACAACGACAACGCGCAACCTACTACTGCACATAAACGCGGCATGATTGGTGAGACACCAGTTCGCAAAGCGAATACGAGACGACGCACGA